GAGATCATCCATAATGAAAACGCCTCCTTGGCAATTGCTCTATCAATGCCATATTCTGCTCCCATTAGTTCCACAATGTATTCAGCAGTTGCGTTTCGTCCACCAGGTATATTGAATTGAATGCCGGCATCTGGAAACCGGTTTTTCGATCACTGCGAACGCCAACGAAAAACAAACGAAGGGACGATCGGCCGGCGAGGTCGAAGAAAACTTACAGTTGCTGTCATCACGATCAGGTGTATCCATACGAACAAATTGGGAGACATATACTCGCATCGATACCACATCATTCTTCTTCTTACGATAATCAGCTGATTGAGGAATATGACTGAAAAAAGATGCCATTTCGAACTAAAACAACTGAATAAAAACATGAAAAACTTACTGCAAAGTGTATCCAAGAGGAGAGATCGAAAGAGGAGGCGTTTTCTTGATATTAGCACTTAGCGGATCCGCAAATGATACAGCGGGTCTCTGAAAATAACAGCTAGGGTTATTGCACTGCTCAAAAACGTGCCAGATTCACCGGTAAAAGCGAATTACTCAAAGATATTACCTCCCCCACAGATATCGTCGGTAACTTCACTTGACGGCTTTCACTAAGCTTTTTCCTCGCTGTAGGTACTTCCATGCCAGTTGCTGAACTTTCGACGACGACTGCAGCTTAAATGAAAAGTATCACCACAGGGAGAAGACAGGTGAAAGAATTTTTCTAACTGTAAAGGAGGGCAAACAGAAAGGAGAGCAGTGTTTGTCTGCCACCAACGGTGAGTCGCATGACGCATTTCTGTTCTTATTTCAATTCTTGTTCTATTGTATAACTGCTAGACTTAGAATTACTGACTCGCCCTTTTAAAAGAATAGTGTGAGAAAGCTGCTCACCGCCTCCAATAGAAACTGGTCTTTTAATGACAGCCGACTCGGATACTGGCTCGGTTTCCAAGGCCTCTTGGGGTACCTAAAGAAAACATTTTTGTCACAGCTGGTGTTGTTTTGAGGTTTTTTATGGGGGAGGAGGAGCAAGTTGGAATGAAGTTCGGGTTATCAATGGTAGAATCAACTAAGTGTCACTGTAAAAGTCCTAGAAAAAAAAGCACCCGAAGAAGAATGAAAAAAATTCGGCTCAAGGGATAAAGGGGAATGTAGGTTCTAGGATGCCTGTCCATTCCGAGTTCGTGAGCTCATTTACGCCAAAATCCTTCGAGGAAAGGAAGTACCAAACAAGCAACAGAGGCAGATAACAGTCATATGCTTACATTCAGGAAAGACAGAAAAGAATAGAAGCTTAGCGCTTTTTTCCTGCTCATTGGGATGAGCCAAGCATTCCACCTACATTCAGTATAGTAGTGGCATTTTCTGCGCGATTGGGCTTACACAAAGAGACCAACCGACGTACGAGCAAGGTTTTTTGTCCACTTAGAGAAGTTTGTTCCTAACTGACAAAACACTGAGGCCATGGACTGCTTGGTTGGCCTGAACTTCGGCCGATCAAGGCCTTGATCCGCGGAACATGCGCATAGTAGGCAGCGCCTCTTGCCACTATACCACACCAGTCCAGGAGAAAGTTGTGCCAAACCCTTCTTTTCATGGAAAACACTGTGTCCAAGTTACAGCAAGTAGCCCAGTGTGGAAGGTGAAAAGATAATAGCGAGTGAATCACACAGAGTTCTTTCACTGAAAAGGGGAGAGCAAGGAATTAGCATAATTGGAACCATTTTCACGCCCCCCCCCCATGCCTGATCCCTATTCAGAACACGTAAAAACACTTAATGGTCGCAAAACAAGTATGACATCAATCGCAAAAGGGTCCACCCCACATCAAGAATGGAAAACAACCTTAGAAAGTGGTCTTGCAAAATGTGTGAGTACGACTTTAGATGTCGTACCGAAAACAGTAAGAAAACGGCTAGTATAACTCACTTCCGTTCGACTCCTACTCAGAAGATGGACATTTTCATTGGCATAAGGCGTGCCTTTCGGTTCAACACTCATGTTGGAGAGGAGAGATAATCTGAAAAAAAGACAAATTGACAATTGCAACAGAAGCGCAAGGTCGGAAACATGAAACGAAAGACGAGGAGGCGAAATGAAGACGCGAATCATATGATCCCTTCTATCTTGCGATGTCCGCTCCCCATGCGCCCAGGTGTGTTTTACGACATCATACGACAAACATGATATGAAAACAGAAAAAAAAAGGAACGGGCTCAAAGATGAAAGATGAGAGATTTGTGTTGAGAGAAAAACGGAGATTTGCAGGATAGTTAGAAAGGCACATTTTGTTGAAGAACAAATGTGAATACAGCAGGGCACAGGGAAGAGCAAACAAAGGGAACCATTCCAACGGACCATGTCAATCAATACAAGGTGAGTCTTATGTGCTAAAGTTCAATGTAAACACCGAAAGTCTTCAAATATCACCTCAGAAATAACTGATTTGTCAAAAACGATTAAAAACGCAAAAATTTCATGATATTTATCAAAGAATCATTTAACATAATTTGAATTACACCACATAAATCTCTTGGTAGATAAAAATTATTTGACAGAAACACAAATAGCAAGAAAACATCACAAATGAAAACCCTGAGCACAGATTTGGAATCACTACATGAACACCAAACGATAGAATTCAACAAGCAGTTCATAATCTAATTCTAAATTCGTCTATTCATAATTGAATTCTCATTTTGTTAAGCTTATTCTCGAGTCATTCTCACACAAAAGACTGATTAAAACAATCTTACTAATGAAATAAATAACCATTGCATTCCCAAAGCACACGGAAATAAATCCTAAATCCTAACCCAAATCAATACTATGGTTTCAAGCAATCACTAGACAATTAAACAATGAAAAAAGCTTAGATGTGCTAATAACTCAAGGGTCTAGCCATTAGAAAGAACTATTATGTACAGAAAAAAGAAAATTAATATCACATTAAATAAACCAATGCCGTATTGATCCAAATCATATGAGTTAGATATTATGTATTGAAAAATAGTGAAGTAAGCATCAAGTATGAGAGGAATATAAGAACCATTGGAAGAGCTACAAATAACAGCTGAACGTAAATCGATCGAAATGACGGGGAGAACGGGGGAGAGATAGCGGAGAGGACGCAGCCATGACTCATGCAGCCGACGACCCAAACCCGCCTCTTCGAGGTTTTATAACTCATAAGACGGTCCGGAAGTGATAAAGCTGAGCAGTCGCCTTAATGATGTCAACCTCTGGTACCTGAGAATATCTCATTGACTTACTCATTCAGATTTTTGGTTGCGAACGCGGATAGTCTCAAGATAAATGAACAGTGAGGCAGCTAGTTTTGGGCAGTCAACTGAGCCATACTTTCATTACATTAATCTGCAGCCACCTCTCGGTTTTTGTGCCTCGCGACGCAAAACCGATAAGTCAGCGAGATGTTTGCTTTGGAATCAATTGAAGCCAGTGACGTTACTGTAGGCGAGGGGAATCTGAATCAATCTATTAAACATACCCAGGGGGGATGTTTAATAGATTGATTCGGGCGCATTCATAGTCGCTTGTTCGAGCGTAACATCGTAACAATCGCACAGCGTTAGATATGTATTGATCTTCCATCCTTGGACACGTCTGACGATCGACGCATTGCATCAATGCTGTGCGATCGTTACGATGGGTAATCGTACGACCAATTATGAATGTGTCCTTCGAGGGTAACAAACATTTGGTGCCCACAACTCCATTACCTAAGAGATGCAAGGGGATCTTGATTTGAACGGTATGGTAGTGCTCACTTGAACGGGCTTTGTAACAAAAATGACTTGGATAGACGATGACGTCACTTTTATTTTTAACCCCTAATCACACAGACTGAGCCGCCAGCTTTGTAATATAACATAAATGTAATAACTTTTGAGCCACGCGAAATAGAAGCTAGAAGAAAATGTTTAGATTATCGCCGGCCAAGCTGACAATCCGTATCCCTCGTTGCTTTTCAGCGTCTCAGACGGCGTACCCAAATGAGAACGTGACTAACCTGAAGCTCGGTCGCCGGCAAGGACAATGCGATGATTTGAACCATGACCGATAATTACTCTATAAGTATTCATTTCTACTTTGTTGTCAGCTTTTTTAAAAATTACATGTTTGCATAATATCCATACCGAACCACTAAACCCCACACAGATTGCTTACCTGAAGTTCGTACCCCAATCTCTTCAAAATTTCCTTCCGTGTCCCATTTCTTTCGCATAATTCCAAAACACGCCGTTCCACAGCGAATACATGTTCGTCAGGACAGTGAGGTGCCTGGAATTGATTTAAATCAAAATTTTGACAGCGAATTTCATAATATACCCCAATGTTCCTCCGTGAGATTTCAGGCGAGGACAGAGATTCACTGAAAATGACTCTGGGTTACCTATATTGTTAACTATATACCACTCCCCTCTATAGACCTCTTCGGCACAGCTAAAGCTAAAAACTATGATTTGTACCCGTCCCAACCAAAAGCCAGAAAGGGTTTAGAAACAAATAATGACAAAAGACAAAATTGTGAAAGTCAATCAAAAGTATAGCATAAAAGGATCAAGGATGAAAGGACAAATAACAAGATTAAGCATCCAACCTTTTTGAGATGCGGCATGCATTTTACTTCCATTTCCACATTAGTAGCAGCACTAGAATGCGATTCGACCTATACAATTAGTTGCGCGGGTCAGCCGACGTACGAGTCAGTAATTTTACCCTCCCAGACAAGTTCCATTACCAATTGACACCCTCGAGAGATGGAAGGCTCTGCTAGCGTAGAAGGCGTAAAAGTGATAAAAGCGATAAATAGCAGACGGCCCGGCTTTTATCAGCCCCTTTTGAAATGCGCCACGTGTTCTACTTCCATTCAGAATCGCAGGGGCATTTGAATGCGGTACACCTATACAACGACCTGTCCTTAGCAACGGTCCTTGGGACCAGTCTACTTTGAGGGAAATCCTGCCACTCGTCGCGCTAGAACAACTATTATCAATTGATAGACCCCCGGAGAGATCGAAGGATTTATTATTGCCCGACGCGTGTATCATCTCAGGATTTGACGCCGGACTGTACGATCTGGTAAGTAGCGCACTTGTCAATTATATCATCTACTGCACCAGATCATCATCGTTTAGAGACTATTAATCTTCCTTACAGTAGTCTCAAGCGTCCACAGCACATTGAAGCAGTCAAAAGAAAAAAGTTATCTAGGCTCAAAAATGCTCTTACGCGGTTGATAGGGATATGGGTTAAAGCAAAGTCAGCGGTTTACCTGTTTATGCAGCGTAACTGCAAGCAAGAGTGCGTATTCTACGTTCGATCCTGAAGGTCCATCACACTGAACTAATCTGAAGATAGATATAGATAGGATCAAATCAAAAACTACAAACTAGCGCCGCTAAGGAAGTAAGAATAAAAAGATACTTGAATAACGAAGAAAACCATACGGTCTGACAAATATCTTCAAGTTCGCTCGGTCCCGCATGATGTTCCTTATTTCCGTACGACATGTAAGCCTTAAGTGAAGTTGAGTTAAAAAATATTGTAAAAATATTCCCTCCCACTAGTATGCGCTCACATATGACACGCGACCACATTCAAACAAAGAGGTGATGCGGTGATGAGTTGCACGTTCACCATTTATTGCGCAGGTGATCCATAACCCAACCTAGCCCTCCATACCTTCGGGCTCGCGTGCTCGGAATCTGACTAGTTTGGGAGGAGTAAAAACAACACCTTCTGCATTGGCAGGTCTTCCTAGTTCATCGTAAAGCTCGAATCGCGATCAAAACCTTTGAAGCTTCGAGTGAAGTAGATTCTGGTAGATCCGAGAAAGGGATGAGACGCTGAATACTTTGCATTTGTTCATTTGCTCTACTTACTTGAAACCTAAGTTCTAATGATCTCTCTGCAACACTGTCAAGACCAGACTTGTCTAAGTGGAACTAGCAAGCCTATTGATTGTGATTCGAAGTGGAACTGGGACCAGCTAAGCGCTTGCCAGGTTGCCGTAACCCGTTTGACAACGACCGTTTTTTTTATATCTCCAAATCGAGACATGCTCTGATGAAACATATCGAATCACTGTCCAATCCCAGAAAGAGAATCCTTGGCATAGATTTTTGAAAAATAGCATTAGCTGCTCAACCCCTGAGGCTTTATAAGGCAGAGAATGAAAAATTCTTACCTCCACCTGGAAGGGCTCTAAGGAAGCATCATCTGGCTTGAACATCATTTTCACCAGCTGGAAATAGTGAAGACCATAAACTTCGCAGCAGCCACAGATTAACTCCATAATTGCAAAAAGCATAAACAACTAACCGAGTATCCAGCCTTCTCTCGAAAATCCAAATACTTCCGAGTCGAGGCAACGTTTTCCTCAGCCACTTTGAATGCTATTCCCCAACAAACGGACTGGAAACAAAAAAAATATGAAAATAGAACGCATTTTTACAACATAATTAATCAGATTTCCTCAGCAAGTGGTTATGAACAAGTATAGTACTGGTTACCTACTTTTTCATCTGGTACCAGGGTGACGGTGCGACCAGGCTGAAAAGTGAGACTACAGTTTGCAGGATGGAATGTTATTTGATTCAAATCATTTTGTCCCTTCCCTTCTTCATTACCTATCAAAGGTGCTAAAGAAGACCTCATTACAAGCAGGCACCACTACTGAAAATTCCAATCGACACGCAGTCTTTTCAGGCACTAAATTCTATCAAGTTGCGACATTCTGAATCTATGTCCACCAGTCACGGTTCCGAACCCGACTTGCCAAAACGGCACATCTCGAATTACACCTGTGGTATCTCAAGATGTGGAACTTCACGTTCAATGCCCATGTTTCAAGTTGTGAACATTCACCAAAAATACGTTACCTTTTCAGGAGTTCCACGATGATCAGGGCTTAGCTGCCAAAATCTCCGTGCATATCCATTCACAACACCAGGAAGCTGCTGTAAAGTATGTATTCA